ATCACATGCACCAATCCCAAAGTAAGTTCTAATTCTTTCTGCGCCATACTCTGTAACCTTGAACTATCAAAATAAAATATTTGTCTACTAAGAGCTACTCAATTAACATCACCCCTCCCACTTTCTCAACTATGTGGCAGCGATGAATTCCATAGCTGACACTAAGGATTAAAATTACAAGTAAACGGAAGGAATATAAAGCTGATTTATTTGACCAAGGTTAAAATAGATATATTATTACCAATAAAAGAGCATATTTGTAGATATATTGTTATATCTAATAACCCTTAATGGACATTTCATAAGACCAGAACTGAAATGATGGTGCCTTATGGGTTTGTTTATTGGTTAGAGAAGGTATATTGAAATTTAAGAGGAGGTTAAACATTACTAAAATTGTTTATACTTGTGATGAAGTTTGGAAGTCTCTCTCACACACATATACAATATTCTTTTCCTTTTTTTCTTCTGTTTTTCACTTCTTCCCTTTTTCCCCTTTGCACTCTTTCTTTGAATTTATATTAGTTTGAATGTTATATTAGTTTATAGTATTGTAATTCTAATGTTTAAGAAAATTATTCAAAAAAATTGAATTCGATCTTCTATTTGTGTTTTATAATGGGAAACTTTAGCTTGTTTTCAGCAAGATGCTGTCATGTAAAAGGACCTGCATGAACTGAAAGGCAGAATCAGCCTCTTGCCAAATTAATTAATTTATAATTATTTCATTATTTATTATAAAGGATAGAAGTTTTGCAGCAAAGGACAATGTACTATAATGTCATATGAGAGAAAGTCAGATCAGGGGGGAAAAAAGGGAAACTCTGGAAGGAAAAAGAAAGTGGGTTAAGAGCCTGAAAGCGAAATAGTCATGAGATCTCTTGTGCTAATGCTTTAGCATGACAAAAGCTAACAGGGAAAGTGAAGCAGCTTTTTAAAATGCAAAGTGTACAAGTTAGTGACTCAATTCAAAACATCAAAGACTTTTTATGAGTGAAAAGAAAGTTAGCTATCTTAGAAAATAGGTCTCCATACTTAACAGACATCTGCTGGGTTTAAAATTGAACAAAAATTCAACATTTTCCTTCTGAGAAAGAAGAAAGAACTAAATGTTAAAAAGAAAGAACTAAATGATTTACAGACTTCTGAGCAATGAAGGAGTCCCCCCCCCCCAAGTTAAACTATCAGGCCATCCCTGCTTAGTAAATTCTCCTGCCTCTTTATGTGGAAGCAATAGGATCCTTCAATCACAACCAAAAATAAAAAGAAGTAAGCTGAAGATTGGACTTTACTTGTGGCTGACAGCTTGAAAGCAATCCCCCAATAAGGATTCATACCTAAATTCATACCACATCAGCTATTGTATATGACTAGAAATTTTGCTGGGACTTTTATTATTCTGCAACTTTCACTCATGATACAGAATAACAGAGTTGGAAGGGACCTTGGAGGTCTTCTAGTCCAACCTCCTGCTTAGGGAGGAAACTCTATACTATTTCAGACAAATGGTTATCCAATCTCATCTTAAAAACTTCCAGTGTTGGAGTATTCACAACTTCTGGAGGCCAGTTGTTCCACTGATTAATTCTTCTAACAGTCAGGAAATTTCTCCTAAGTTCTAGGTTGCTTCTCTCCTTGATACTAGTATGTATTTTCCTACAACATATTACTGTATGTCAATTTCTAACCTATATCAAGATTTGGTTTTCAAACTTAACATTTCTTTTGGATTTCTGTTCAAGCTGTTACAATGATGTAGTAGGGTTGGGCAACACTTCAAATTCAGAGGCTTTGGAATGTGTAGGGGGATATACATATGATCCCCATCTGCAACTCCTTAAATTAACCTCCCCCCAGGTTCACACAGGTATCCTTGATACCTACACCACACCTGCAGCAAAAGACTTATTTAGTTTAAGGTTGCAAACAGCTGTTAGCCGGGCCCCTATGCAACATTGCACTGCCCCATTTATTAATTCTAATCTACCTGTTATCTTCTACCTGTTATGTCTGTATGCTTAGTAAACATTCTAAAGCACAGCTTATAATAATAATGTGATTGTTTCACAGTGTGTGACTTCATTTTTTAAAAGACGGCACACTGCTTACCATTAGATGGCTGTCTTCATATGGCTCACTAACATGCCAACTAATCATAGCCTAAATTCTTGTACAAATTCAGGCAATGTCTTTATAGTATGGATAATAAGTCACATGAATCCCCAAAATTGGATTAAGTGAATTATGTTTAAATTAACTATGGGTGTATATTAAAAGCTCTATCCCTAAGTGGTAGTAATTGATTCAATTGTATTCAACTGTTAAGAGAAAGATTATAAAAATAACTAAATGTTATATGGAGACTTGCTGTTTCAGAATTTCTGGAGAATTACAAGCTGCCTTGCCTCTATATATTGCTACCTGAGTAATACCAAGGGAAGAAAATATGAAAAACTCATAGTGCAAAGTCTCTTAGTTTGTATGGATGTCAATATATGTACAGCAAAACAGGAACAGGTATCAGAAAAAAACTAAAATCAGAGAGATCATTATGATTTCTTAATATTTAGGCAAAAGGGTAAGATGACATCTGTAAAGGACCCCACATTTACCTCTGCCCAAGTTATAATATATTGACATAAATTGCAGATTTTAAATAATAAATCAAATATCATCCATCATCTTATTCTGAAGTAACATTTTATTTGGAAAACATTTAAATTTCATTCCTAGCACTACATGGATTTTGCATCTATGGTCCAGGACTTTTTCATCCATACAAACTAAATTGAATTTCTCTTTGTTCACAGTGAGATCAGTGGGTGAAGTTGCAAAATGGGAACTTACTCTCATGACAAAGCTCCCCAGGACCAGCTAAAATTTGTCTGGGTTGTATTCTTGAAATGGTTCTCCAACCATTCCATGGCTAGGTGTTAGTGTAGGTGATAAATGTAATAGAGGATATTTATTTGCTATGCTGCTCAAATTGAAATTAGATCAGAGTCACCCCCATATCCTATTGATCTAAAGAAGTTCTTAAGCTACACAAATCATATAACCCAAAACAGAAAGCCAGAGATAATTAGGCCTCTATATTTATTAAACATCAGATTACAAAAGGGGTCATTCACAACATTCCCTCCATTAATGTCTGTGGGGAAAGAACCCAACAGGTTTGGGTGACATTTCTAAAACCTAGCAGAGTATGGTTCAGATCTGGACCTTGGGGAAATGTTACACCAAAGAAAAAGGGACATTGATTGAAAAGGCATATCTCCAAGGCCCCTAAAAATGGCAGTCATTAAATAAGGGGACTTAAAGTAAGATCTTCTACAAGATCTTATGGATGGATTAGGAGAAGGCAATCCTGAAAATATCTAGGTCTTCTATCTGGAAATTCTTATTGAAAACTAACTCATTCACTGATTGAATACTTTGCAAGTGATTAATTGATTGCTAAGCCACAGTCTCATCAACTCAAGTTGAATGCACTTTAAAAACCATGTTGCCTAATGGATAATGTTCAACATAAAAAGGTAGACTTTTATTTAAAAAAACCACAAATGGAGACCCAATCTTGGTGTCAACATGCAATATTTTTGGGTGAGTAGAGAGGATCCTATGTAGTGCAATATAGTAGTTACTGACCCCAGCATTACAAAATGAAAAGTACAGGCTGGCCTGAGAAGTACAGAGCTGGGCTATTGCAACATCACTTCTTCCCCCAAAATGTCTTTGGGTCCTTTCCTCAACACACAAGTCCTTGAAGTGCTAGTAGATTCATAAAAGGACTACAAAAATATGTCTTTGTTCGTTACCAGGCTGGGCTTAGGAAAAAGTTGGGGGAATTGTGATGTCCCTGTTACTTCCCATCCAATAAGCTCTATTTAAACCTAAACTTGGTAATGAATCAAGTACTGGGCCTAATTGCCTTGGTCCCTTCCTTTCTCTGATCTTCTTTGTAGAGATTTCATATTAATATTGCAATCAGATCACAAAGAATGCTGGATGGAGACAAGGTCCAGAGGTGTTTCAGATAGAAAAAGTAGCTGCGAGATGGTGGGTATCATAGAGGGACCCAGCACCTCAGCCTTTGAAAGCTTGCAGGAGATTCAAGGCCCTCTTCAATTTGGTAGGGGTCTCTGATTCAGAAATGAACCCTAACGCTTGGGTACAATTATTAATTCCCCTTTGTTGTTATTTGAGCTTTTTTTTTAATGTAACAATGAGGAAAGAGGTGAAAAAAGGAATAAGTTATAAAATGTAGTATTCTTTAGAAATAGACAGAAATAGAAATTTGTGTAAGTGGCAGATAAAGGCCAGATTGGCTCAGGAAATGAAGTGTTAGGATTCTATCTAGACTAAACCATTAATCTATTGGTCAACTATGATCACTCTTACACTTTCAGGAATCCCTGTGTTTAAAATGGCATGGGACCCAGAATATAATAAACCTCTATCAAAGCTAAAAGATATTTTCATATCACAATCGATGCAGAAAATAAATCATCATTATTAACAAGTTGTTCTATGGGCACAATAGGTTATTCTCCTCCAAAGCAAAAGCCTCTAATTGTGTTGGGACTACATTTCCCAAGACTCCTGAGCTGTCATGGTTCTCCAGGGCAGCAACCAGAAATCTCAGTCATCACAAATACACCAACATATCTGGAGGACAATAAGTCTGGAAAGTCCCACACAAACCTTGACATTATATTCACTGGCCTTGATGCAAACAATTCACTGATAGTTTATAATGTACTACATCACTTTGCCTAACGAGTACTACTAACATGCTTTAGTGATGAATTTTGCAACAAACATTATACTCATTTCTATTGAAAACACAGAACTCCTGTAGTTATTTGCAGAGGTTGGAATCTCAGCTGAGCTGTAAATGAAAATCAAGTTAACAAGAGAAAATAAGTTGTTATGATGCTTAAATGTTTCTGCTTCAGAGATGAAGCTGCAGCAACTGTTTGTTTATGTAGGACACTTACCTCGAAATACATTAGGGAAGGCATCAGTAGAAGGTGGCATTCCTGAGAACTTTCTCAAGTGATTCAAAGGCACTCTTTCCCCTTGGATACCATCTCTGGTCTGCCTGTACTCCAAAAAATCTGCAGAGCCTGACTTTTGAGCGATTTCACTGGGCTGATCTGAAACCTCGTGAGTCCAGTCTGCAGATCGGCTAAATGCCCCTGCCAAACTGGCAGATCTCTGTTTCTTGCTTGGTGCCTTCTCTTTCAGTCGAGCGGGCTCCCGTCTCCTTTTAAAGAGAGGGCTCTGCAAGGGGGAGAGGCAGGGTGAACGGTTCGGAGAGCTCAGCTGCCTAGTGGTGGTTTTGACATAGCAGGGGTTGATGAAAGGGTACGATCTAAAACATTTGGAAGTGTGCACTGGACTGCTGGAGACATCCTCTGAGGAACAAGTCCCATCTTTCATTTCCACAGAAAAGCCCTCCTCCCCTGCTTCCCTGCTAGCTGACAAACTCCATTTCCTGTCCGTGGCCACAGCCACCTGATCCTCGCCTGCACCTGCCAGTTCAGCCTCTCTTTTGCCACCTGTACCTGCAACTCTGTCAGTCTCAGACTCCCCAGCCGGGGGTGGGAAATTAAAGACCGAGCTGCCCAGCAGAGCCCCCTCCTCTTCTGTAATTGCAGCGTTGGGAGTAGAGAAGACGTCTCCTCCTTCACCAGCAGGTTGTTCCTCTTCAGATGACAATTGCTCAGGCCCTTCCTGCATCTCAAACACACTGCTGCAGGAGTGCTCCATTCCGTTTGCCCTTTCCGGCACTTCAGCCTGACAACTTGGGACATGTTCTACAATTTCTGATTTTGCAGAGACTGGCTGCTCGGTATCCGGGCTACTGTCTTTGTCACTGCTGAGTGAAAGAAACCTTTCAAAATCGAATGGGGTTGCTTGAGAATTAGCCATGTGTAGGGCCATTGTTTTGGTGCCCTGCTGCTCAGTTCCAATGTTAATTGTCCCCTGCTGCTGCTGCTGCTGCTGCAGTCTAATTGCCTGCTGAATATCAGAAAGCAAATCCTCTTGTTCGGTGGCTGAATGAAAACTGTATATATCCGTATCTGAGCCGGAGCTGGTTCTTTGTCCATCTTGCGGCTTGGCAGCTGCAGGGCGAATTTCATTTGTATTTTCAAAATGCTCTGCATCGGTATCCGAGAGACCCCCTTCATCTGCAGAAATGCTTATATCAGGAGTTTTGGTGAGAAGGGAGTGAGCACTGTCTAGCTCTCCTGTGTGCACGGCCTGGCTCTCTAAAACATCCTCTCTCGAGCTGCTGGTTCCATCTTTAGATTTGGAAAGATTTTTCCGGATGCGCAGATTAGAAAACACGGATGACCTGGCTTCAGACTTGCCCTTCTTCTTTGATTCTCCCCCTTTGCTGTGCCGGCCCAGAGTCTTTTTGCTCCCCCCTCCTTTCTTTGTGCCTTCAACATCCCTGGGCCCAGAAGCATCCTCACCTCCTTCGTGTACATCACCTGCGTTCCTCTTCAGCTTCCCATCTTGGTTCCCCATGGTGTTCAGCAGTCGGGCAATGTCAGGAATCAAGCCATGGTGCTTAGCTTCGTTCACCTGGGCAGGCAGGCCGGCCCTCTCAAGTAATCCAGGGTTGTTTTCAAGCTTTGGTGATGCAAGGAGCGTGCAGGCTTGTTCTGACTCTCTCTCGGCTGCTCGAGCTGCCTTTTTGCATAATGTGTTGCCAGCATAAGGCTCCTCTGAGGCATGCTCAGTAGAGCACTGAGAGATGCAGACAGCTCCTTCCAATGGCAGCTCCTGGTACCGTTGCCTTTTCAGCTTTCCTCGGCTCCCCTCCCGGCTCTGGCTAGATGGAAATAATTGTGTCTGGACAGCAGGAACTTTCTTCTCCAGTGCCTCAGTCTCCTGCATTGTGAACTCGCAGGAGGTCAGTTCGTGGCAGAGCACCTCAGGAGTCAGGAGTTCAACAGTTTCCTTCCCTAGAATCGGGTGTTGGAGAAGAGAAGAGGAGAAGGGAGAACAAAAAACAAAGGGGAGCAAAAATTAATAATAATTAAATCTCATGATCCATACCAACTTTCTGGTTATTCAACAGGAAATCTTATGTTGCTTTCTGTAGTGCAGAAAATCGATTAATTCAGTCAAGCTTTTTTTTGGTAAACAATATTAATTTGCTCTTTTGTGCATTTTTATGAGAATCAACTCTCCATTTCTCTCTCTCTCTCTCTCTCTCTTTGAAACACAAACATTCCATTCTAACACACCTGCAGACACACAGTGCTGTACTTTAAATATATAAACAGCAGTATCTAACTATGCAATGGTTCATTGGAAGAAGTACTATAGGTTCATGATTTTATAGATTACTGAGGGGCTTGGTCTAAGTGACCATTCAGAAAGACGTTTTGTATTCCAAGGGGGTATGAATAATGATAGCTCTCCAAGGGAAAAGCCTCATCAGTATTCAGCACACACACATTATCCATTAAAAAGACAGCAAGGGCTGGGGAGAATATGAGTATGTTTGGTAAACCCCCCCCCCAAAAAAAATGATACCAACCTTCCTCAGAAAAACACAAATTTAAAATAAGGTACATCACAAGGATTTCCATACCAGCAATACTGTGTTGCTTCTACACATTTTATAAAAAAACTACATTGAAAGTTTGATATGGCTTGTTAAACACAATTGTTCATATTTACTCCTCCAGTAAAAACACCACATAGTCACAAACTGCTTATTGTGAAATTACATTATTTTAAACTAATGTTTCCAAAAAGAAAAAAAATGAAACTTGACATTGTAAATCAGACTAAACTTTATCTCTTTCATTATCTTACAGCAGCCTCCCTGTGATTTTTAATTATTAGAAAAACCCAGATTTGGAATTTAAAAATATTTAGCAGCAGACTTGAGAAATAGACCCATGCTCAATTTCACCATTTTAATGACCTCTGACTTCAATGGGTCAGACACTAGTTTTTAAAAGGGGGCTGTTTTTTCTTTAAATATGCATTTTTAAGAGGTCACCTCTAAAATAGGCATATAATAAAATTAATAAAGTTTATACAAAGCCCCCCAATCAATATACACAAACATCTTACAGATTAATGGTATTTGCATATTCATAAGTGAAACTGCTTACCAATCATAAAATGTGCTGATTTCTAAAATCTGACTTTAAAGAGTTGCAACTTTATTTGAAATTTATGTTAGCATAATAGCTTAAAGAAATTAAAGTAAATCTATAGGGCAGCTCAATGATCTTCGATTCTTAGTTTAAACAACTTTCATGAGTCCTGCTTTGGACGATGCCTAAAATGGAATGTACTTCTGCTATCCTAACATGATATGTATTTCCTAGTAATAAGAAGCACCATTTTAGTGTAGAAAGCGTAGGCTTTAAAATAGAAATAATAAAATTAAAATGTGTATCCATGTGTGATGGCTATTGATGATAAAAACATCCCAAGTCAGAAAAACGTAGTGACCATGTTGTTATCCACTTAAGACTTTTAGGCAACCTCAGTTTAGGGGAAAATGTTTCCTGAGACTTGAGATTTCATCTACACTGTGAGACAGTATCAGTATCTCACATGTATATTAGGCCAGAAAAGTTAAAAATAAACTTGATTCCTTATTTTAAGATTTTTTTGCTTTATTTATACCAACTGATATTTTGACAAGCGACAGCAACTAAGCAAGGGAAGGGCCTATTCTTTTTATATAGCTCTCTAGCTAGCAGAACTGAACAGATAGTCTCAATCTAGGCCAGGAGTGTCAAAATGGTGGCCCGTGGGCCAGATGTGTCATGCGCAGGCCACACCCACTCCAGCTCTGTGAAGAGAAAAACATTGTGATAATGTCATGTGATGACAACATGATGACGCGAGTTTGACATTCAGTTAACCTTACTAAGCTACTGTAAGTGTTGATTAAGTAATTTCAGTTGTTTTAGTAAAGTTAAAAAATCAACAAGTTGAGACCTTGGAAGACAGGTTTTTGGAGCTGAAAATTACTTTTTCATGCTATTCATTGAAGAAAGCATGTCAGACTGTTTCTGAGTAGAAATGCTTAGGAACTGGAATAATAAAAGAGATGATTTCTGGATCAAATGGTTAATTGCATTTATTTTGTGGATCTGTCTAAAGACCCATGCATAAAATATCAAGTCCATTTTAAGATCCTTCTGAATGACTGGTTAGAATCAAGTCTAGTGTGATCACATGCTTAAAATATTCATTTAAATAAAAAGGTTGGAGAGAGTTTGGTTTTTAAAAACTCAGTGAAATGCACATGCACCCATGTAGGAAGACTACTTTCTCTTTTGAAACAAAAGGGCTGAGAGCAAACAATTAAACTCTTATCTCTCTGGGTTATTGTGAAATTACAATTAAGGTTTTAAAACCAGAAATGGGGCCTCAAAAGTTACTTTTTAGCTAACTTAGACTTAAGTAAATGGAAGTGAATGGACCAATCAGGAACTATGTCCTTTGATCTTCAGCTGAGTATTAGTGTCTTAACATTCCAAATTGGTAGAACAAATGGAGAGGGGTAGAGATGGATAATACATATAAATATTCTACCCACAGGTGTTTCTTTTCTCAGGCAATGAGAATTCTTGATGTCAGCTAACTATGGTAGTCATGGTTATCAATTCCCTCCATTAAATCTCCAAAGACAAATTCCTTAACTCTTCATGTCTGAGAAACATCAGTAGTCCTAAGTCTTATATCCCTTGTGGGTTGGACTAACATTGTTATGCAACAAAAATTATGCTTTAATTAGTTTGATATATGCAAATGCAATCTTTATCAGTACAAATTATAATAGCCTTTTCACAAATCACACCAACATTTGTTTATTTCTAATTTAATGTAATTTATGAAAACATCAATTTTAGGTTAGCATTATATGCAAGATAGACCACAATGGCTTATTCAACAAAACATGATTAAAATGTATCATAATAAAGATTGTATGTGAATCAGATCATAGAAAATAGGGATACTTATTTTTGAAGACAACTAGTAATACTAGCTATTAATATACATCTTACACTTGTTTCATTTTCTATTTTGAGAGAAGATCTAAACTAAAGTTAGCAAGCATGTTGCAATACCTTATTATTATCAATAGTAACAAGCTTGCTTAAGTTTATTCAAATGAACATTTGAAAGCTTCTTTTAAGTTTATTTAATTTAAATAACTTCTAATTCTAAATTACTAATGCTATTGGAGCCTCAGTGATACTGGTCCTTTTACAGAGACATAAATAACTATAAAGGTGTTGCCAGTTGTAAGATACACTTTGATATTTTCATATTAAGCAATACCTCAACACCACAGCATTTATACACAGATAACACTGGGAAGCCATAGAGATGATCCACTATCTTAAACATTTGGGGAGATGAAAACATCAATATCCAATAAACACAAAAAGAATCCTCCCAAACCCTCTGTTTAAAGAATAATATTAACAGTACCACCAATTCTTACCTTTGTTTTGTTAAATAGTTTCTGTTGATTGTAATGAAAAACTTCATATCAATTTAATGTTTGGCAAAAATATATACTTGGTTCTTAAAGGTTAATACTTAACCCTTTAAATTCACTCTCAGAATAAACATGTATAACTATAGTAGAGAAACATCATTCAATCAAACTTACATGTCGAAGGGGCTTTCACAGAGACAACTTTGCCTTTAAATCCGGAAGTAGAAAGTCAAGTGAAATCTTCCTTCTCATCATTTTTACTTTAAATTGGACTGCCCTTTCCCAGAGCGAGCAGGAACAGGAAAGGGCTAGGTCATTTTTGCTGCCTTCACCTGGAGTAGGTAAACCACCATTTCCTGGAATAAAGCCAAGTCTAAACAGACCCACACTTTCCCTATAGTATAAACAATTAGAAGCAAATAGCCAAAATAACATAAACATTGCTTTAAATATAGCTTTCTTTTTCATGGTTCTTAGATATTAACTTTGTTATTACTCAGTAATCAAGAGAGGAAAAACATAAGGTAGAAAAAAAATGCTGCAAGCATGTCACTTCGAAATGAATTTAACAGCACAGCAACAAAGCACTAAAAATAGAAATTAGCCAAATACCAAAAAAAGAGCTATAGAGAGCTAAAGTTATGCTTAGACTCTAGCAGATAATTTAGTAGGATATTCAAGCAGTTCCTTAGCAGGATGAGATACCATGACCTCCACCCTCACACACACTTTTCACAGCCTAATTACTTGTAATAAGTGCAGATAAGCACAATAGGCTACAAAGACTGCACTGAAAGAAACACATCTGCAGTTTTTCACATTTCAGCAGCTGTTTTCCTTACTACGTTAGGCTGTAGAGTTTGTCATGATATTTAAATTTACTAAACCACAATTGGCTGGTTTTAATCAGTGGATTCATACAAAAAAGTAAAGCATGAGCAAACAAGCCACACGTTTATGCTCATACAATATATTAAGGTGTAGTAATCTTCACATTGTTTCTTAAATAAACTAACTGGGGTCCTGTAACACAAAATGGATAAGTAATGGTTTTTGTAAGCTCAGATGTGGTTTCTTTAGCTTCTGTTTAGTATGTTTTGTTAACAAAGGACAACTTGCTTTAAAAGTAAGGTACCTTTTTTTGATAGATATTAATCAAATTTGAACTGTTTTGTTTTTTAAAATAAACCCTATATGTAATTTCATGAGAGAATATGAAAGTCTTTAATAATGTTTTAATATATCCATGACAAAAATAATGGCAAAATTTACTTTAACTTTGATAGGATTAAATGACAGGTAGCCAAACCACCTTTCCTCATAAAGTCTTTATAATTAGGAAACATATTCTATATTAAAGACTTTGATGTGATTGTCTTTATATGAACTGTTAATCATAGTAGAGATTATT